TATGGTTTGATTTCTTTGTATATATGGATCACTTGTGTTGTTACTGACATCTGGTGAAAAATTCATGTCATTAGCACCTCTAGTAATATATTTACTGAGAAAAATGGTGACGTGTTCAATACTTATTTTACCCGCTGTATGTTTTTTTTGTTACTCGTTTTTTATTATAACTCTAGGTTAGTGTGTGTTTGTGGCAACATTACTTCGTACTAAGTGGCTCGCTGCCAGTTCTAATTCCATCAGGCATCACACCGGGAGTCAGATAAACACAATTTTAAAGCAGGATTTTGCAATTTGCAAGCGTGTGCTTGTGTGTACACGGAAATTCAAGTTAACAGCAGCCACATGGAAGCGGATCAATAGTGCAGTGAACTCCTTGAGAAGATATTTTAGACGACTACGTGCACATGTGTACAAAAAAAAATGAGGAAAAAAATGAGTCGGAGCGAGGCGATGAGAGCGCATGCGCCGGTTTGATTGGTTTTCTCAAAAACCATTTGAAGCTCTGAATGAGCTGATCCTCAGTTGCTATCTCAGGTTTCCTAACTCACCCCACCCCATTTCCTCACTGCTACAGCACAATACAACTTATCTCCCTCTCTCTCTTTCTTACACATTTTTCACACAGGCTTTCAGCAACAGCTTACTCATAAATATGCTCTCTGCCACTCCCTCTGTCTTCAGATTGTGCTCTCACTTGGGTTTTTTGCCAAATCTAAGCCTCAGAAGCACACTGTACTTATCATTCTGCACTGGTAGAAGTAACTTAGTGCGTTAGTGAGATTATTTTATCTATGACAACTGTTTTTGTACATGGTGGTAACTTAATCCCATTAGTCCACAGTGCACCAGCTGCAAGTTAAACCCATTAATTATAATATCTGGTTTCACGACACCTTCTTTTTGGTTGCAAACACTAACGTTTTCTGCTTTCCTTTGTTCGTCACTCTTCTTCCTGTTAGCAACTYGTGTCTAGAGTTTGCTACCTCTAAACTCCGGCAAGATTCACCATATCACACACACGTGAAGAACAAAGAGGCAGCTTCAGTCAACCCTGTGATTATCAAAGCACGACAACATTGAGAATTTGAACAAGCTCTATTAAACCCACAGGTCCCGTAATTTTAAATTGCAGTTTTGTTTTTACGGAGAGCTGCTTCACTTCAAAGCTCTTTTCTGCTCCTCTTAGCAGACTGCTTCGTCACCTTGTTTGCCACAGTTTCAAAAGGTTTAAATCCCCAAGGTGTAAAAATGCAAATCCCTGCACCTAAAGGAGCATTATGCTAATTGATGATTTTTAATGCCTCAATGACAAAATATCCAAAATTTCTACYGAAGGTAACGTTTCAATTTTCAAATGAATGTGAAACATGTTATTTCTTAACTGGGGGGCAGATTAATAATATAGTTGTTAAATTATGCACAGTCAATCTGAAGTTCTGCTTGTTTAAAGCTGTTTGCTAAAAACACTGGTAAATTCTTGATTTGTCAACTGAATTGCCAAAGAGGTGGACGATGATGCTGTGGTTGGGAAATACAACCAGTACTTCTGCCTGAGTATGTTTTCGAGACAGTATTTCGCTTGGCTGCCACTGTTAGAGACTCCAGTTGGTGAGTCCAAATTACAAGAAACCAGGGGAATTTGTTATTTCAGTCTCACAGAATTCTGAGCATTTGCGACCAAGTTGTGCAGCCRTGTTTTGAGTGGCCAATTATTCACCAGCTTCTTTTCATTCTGCACAGCTTGCAAAACTGTTCTAGGGTTGTGCACATTCTGTTGCCCACATCATACTTACCTTAACCTGCTTTGTGCTCATCTACAGTTGACCTCCCCACGTTTAGCAATCAGCTGTAGTACATACAGCGGGTAAAATAAGTACTGAACACGTCACCATTTTTCTCAGTAAATATATTACTAGAGGTGCTAATGACATGAAATTTTCACCAGATGTCGGTAACAACCCAAGTGATCCATAC